GAGACTTCTTATTCCATTTAGAAGTCAGGCATGCCTAAAGCATGGAGTTTTTATCTCTTTTATTCATATGAAAAATCCTTACAGATTTACCACCAGGTATCATGAGAATGCTGAATTTTTTACTCACACTAAATCATTTACTTCGATGACCTCATGGTATATTCTTCCAGTAAATGGTGTGCTGAGTAAATTATTTACTGTATTTTGTTTTTCTAATTTTGTATTTCTTTTTTCTAGTGGGTTCTAATGAAATCAAATGGAAGCCAGAAACCATCTGCACTGACCTGTTCTCAGAGTATCCTGGATTAGAGGATTTAACGAAAAAACAAATCCATCCACTTAACAAGGGGATACTGGTATTTTCAAGGAGTTAGTTGTTGACACTGGATTGCCAAAAACCCAGGATGTTATGTGTGATGTTCTCTTAGTAACTGAAAATGTATATCCAGTATTGTACACTGTAGTCAAGGACGCCTCTTCTGCCGAGTCTGAAAACTCGAGAGAAACTGCTTATGCATTAAAGCAGAAACTAGTCAGTGACAGGGGATATGCTTCAAAAATGTCTGTGATTCCCCAAGTACTGCACCCGAATGACACAAAGAACCAGATGGAAGTTGCAGAGAATTATGTTCCCCAAGAAGAAAACCTGTGTGATTACACCAGCTTGTACCCAGAGAAATTACACCCTCACCTCCAGGGACATCCCCATGTTCCTGCGTGCCCTTGTGCTGCACTTTAGGTCCTACTTAAGTGACCATGTGGCTGTGAGATTTTCAGCCTTCTCACTCTCAAACAGTAGAAGCTGCTCTTCTAGAACCTGCACAAAGTCAAGGAGCAGTTTGTCCTTGGTCTTCCTGGAACAGGGAAAACAATTGTGGCTTTGAAGATCATTGAGAAAATAAGAAATGTTTTTCACTGTTCTGCAGAAGGAATACTCTACACTGGTGAAAATCAACCCTTGCAGAAATTTGTGGGGTAAGCAGTAATGTGTATTTCCTCTTTTTTCTTTCATTCCATCCTTTGTACATAGAGCACAAGCCCCGCTGATTTTACATCTGTTTGCCGAATACATAGCTTTGGCTGACACAAACACACAATAATCATCTCAAGAAAGGTGTTACTGAGCTGAACTCTGGCCCAGATCCAGCGTTCACTGGCTGTAGTGAGAATCCCACCTTCAGCGATTGCGGATTGTGTTAGACCTTCAAAAGATGATGGCCTTAGTTTAGCAGTCGATTACGGCTGGTGTTGACACCAAAACTACCCACCTGCCTTTCTCTGTTGCTGCCTCAACACAGCCTGTGCTGAGCCTGCCTCTCATGCAGCTGTGCTGGAAATGAGACCTTGGACCTGGGCCATCTAGACAAGGAGAAAAAACCCCAATGCCGTTTTGGTAGAGGATTTCAGGCAGAGCAGTTCCCCAGTCCGGTTCTCGCTGCGTTTCCATTTGTGTCAGCGCTGAAGCAGGTGGGCAGCAGGGCCACCATGCGGGATGAGGCACCGGGGAACCGCAGCCTGGCTCGGGCGCAGCAGTGCCCAAGCAGCAGGTCCTGGCCGCAGCAGGCAGATGGCCTGGCAGAAGTGCTGCCCGTCCCCGCTCATCCCGGGGACAAAAGAGAACATGTCCTTCCCACAGGAGCTCAAGCAGGGCACTGCCTTCTGTGGGCCAGGGAGAGCAGGGCAGGGGGACCCTCTGGGGAGCTCTGCCACAGCATCCCCACGCAGGAAGGGTGGGCCTGAGCCTCCTCCTAGGGGAGATCCAAGGCCTGTTGGTAGGGGCCGTGCAGCTGTGCCTGTGCAGAGCCAATCCGTTGGAATAAATATTTTCATCAGGAAAATGATACAGCAAGCTGCAGCTGAGATAGGAAGTTCTGCATGTTTAGACAGTAAGCAGCAATAGCTCTCCAAGCAATAACCCACTGAGAAATGGAGGCAGTCAGTATGGATGTTTCTGGTAACATCTTTTTATTTACATACGTTTTGGCGGGG